GAGCTTTTATCTGCTCACTGTAATTGGGATAATGAGGGAATAACACACACCTGGCCATGGAACAGCTTAGAAGCCAACTGTCCAGTTACTTTTTGGTCCCTTAACAAGTGGGAGGCACATGTGCAGACTGTTGTAATTCCTACCGCGTTCACCTAATGTGGATGTAAATCCCCTCAAATTAAAGCTGACAGTCTGCAGTTAAAGCACATCTTGTCAGTTTAATTTCAAATCGATTGGGTTGGAGTATAGAGGCAAACATGTTAGAATTTTGTCAATGTCCAAATATTTATGGACTTCACTGTATGTGCAGTTTGGCAAAATTTGTTAATGTGATTTCCAATATGCACATAAAAAAGGTGGAGGGAAGCATTACATAATGTAACTTGAGTTGGTTATGAGAGTTTGTTAGTTGCACAGCCATTGGGTTTTGAGGTCAGAGGGTATCACTGAAAAGCACCTTGACCGAGCCGAAAAGCTCAGCTTTATTTATTTTTCCTTTTTAAAGAATGTAATCTGTGCAGAACCAACCTGATTTTCCAAAGTAAAGACCTGGGGCCTCATGTATCAACGCTGCGTACGCACAAAAACTATTGCGTACACCAGGTTTCACGCTCAGAATCGCTCACGTTTGGATTTACTAACGATGAACTGAACGTGGGAATGTGCGCAGCTCCACGGCAGCTTTATGGCTGGCGTACGCACATTTTTTGTGCGTGTCTGTTTTATTTCCATTGGCGACTCCTAGAGGCAGTTGTGTTAAATTCCTCTCTACAAAGTGTCTGATCCTTGCAATGGCAGCTGTATGAGACGGGTTCATCTAGCAGGTATATAAGGTTTGCATACCATACAGTTGACCAGCTAAACATTAAAGCGCAATTTGCAGCGGTCGCCTGTTTTCCCAATGTAATCTGAGCTTTCGGCTGCACGCACATTGCTATAAAGACACTATCTGAAGATGAATTTGCATGCGTGAAACATTTCCATTCAATAAATGTGCAAAAAAAATATGATGCACAAACTTATTAATGATTCCTACTTGTCTTTCTCGTGATAAATAGTTGCCAAAATCTGATATGTAGATATCATAGAAAAAGAAGAAAGAGTTCATCAGACGCTGGATTCGAACCGAGTTCATGCTCGAACGTGTCAAAACATATTGACCTGCGTCTTTCGAGCTGCACCACTGAGACTGTTAAGAGTACTTTAACATTTTACACCTATAAATCACACTATTTCTTTTTTAATTCACTCGGTGCGATGTTCAGACTCGAACTGTTCGAACTGTGTTAACCGCATCAGCTAAACCAACTGTTGTTAATTCCGGAGAACAAACTTGCAAATAACACCGCTTTTCTCCGGTCTACCTCCGAAAGCAGCACCTTCAATTCACATTCTGCTCAAAGTTTCTCTTTTTGCTTGCTTTTGCCATTGCTTTTTCGTTGGGTTTTTCCATTAGCATAGTCATTAGCATATTCATACGGGGGAGGAGGCAGGGAGGGGTTTTGTGCTCGTGCATGTTGCGCTCAGTTTCACGTTCATTCAGATGTACAAAAGAATATGCGTGGGATTCGGCGTACGCACTGCTTCATACATCTGAATTTTTTTCTGCGTACGCACATTTACAGCTTTGTGCGTACGCAATGTTTTAGTATGATATCCATGCAAGTGTTCGTACATGAGGCCCCTGGCTTTTATGTCAATCAGCTAAATAGGTAGTTGGTTAAATCAAACATGTTACAATTCTATTTGATGCCACTGGTTTGATGCAACGATGCTAAGGCAAAGTGTACCAGAGTCAAATCAGTCTAAATTATTTCACTGTTCTTCCTTCGCATGTGAGGAAGAAAATGCACTGTGCTGATGGGAGACAATAGCATATCCTAAGATTACTTTCCACCACATAAGGTCAAAAGAGCTTCGGTCAAATGTAGAACTCACTCACTGGAAAAAATAAAGGAAAATATAGAAGCAAACAAACTAGTGTACTGTTCAGCGAATTCTCCTATGGTTTGTTAACTTGGCACTCTTTTCTTTTCCAGCAGGCATCGAGTCCAGCTCCCAGACAGCATCACAAGAACTTCTCATTCCAAATGACGTAAGTGCTAAAACTTTTCTTTGCAAGTATCCTATTACTCATGATCCTAACCGATATTCTACATCAAGATTTGATTACGCCTCAGAAGATGTCGTATGGCTGTTTTAGAGTGTAGGAAAACCTGTTCGTAACTCGTTAACACATTTTTTAATTGCTCAGAGTGGTGTCAGGAACACAGTTTAACAAAAGAATAGGCCAGTTTATGTTCCATAGAGCACTGATTCCCAACCCTGTTCCTGAAGGCACACTAACAGTACATATTTTGGATGTCTCCCATATCTGACCCATCTGACTTCAGGTTTTGAAATCTCTTCTTATGTTCTGATGAGTTGATTCAGATGTGTTTGATTAGAGAGAGGTTGAAAATGTGTACTGATGTTGTGCCTAGAGGAAGAGGGTTGGGGAACCCTGCCTTAAAGAGTTAAAGAGGTAATTCCCCCAAAAGAAAAATCTTTCGGAGACCTTTGTTAGTCTTTGTATCACAAATTAAAGGGCACATAGTTTACCCCTTTTTTATGATTTAATATTAATATTATGGTTCTTCTGAGTGTGCCAGTATAGGTTCATTTCAACTCACAGTTCAGATGTTTTTATTATAATGTGTTTAACAGTGTCATGTTGGGGGTGTTTACACAGTTTGCTGTTTAGGGGCGTATTGCTTCACAGTTTCGGCTTCCCGCCCTACGTAACAAGGGGGCGGAGCCAAGAGCTCCCACGCTCTGTGTTTGCAACAGACAAGCTGACAGTCAGAGGGAGAAGCTAAGCTATGCTAGGATGAGCATTCAGCCGTACAAGTACGAGTCGGACACAGAGCAAGCAGAGAGTACAAAATCATGTGTCTTTGTATAGTCTCGGTGTAAAAGTGCCGAGCTTGTACACCGAGACTAATAACCACACACACTGAATGAACTTAAGCTCAGCCGAGTGCATGCCGACAGAAACCCACGCAGCGCCGAGCCGCTGACCTGAATCTCGCTGCGTGCAGCCTGACAGAAACCCACGCAGCGCCGAGCCGCTGACCCGAAGCTCGCAAAAGGTACAAGCAATAATTCCGATTACAGCGATAATGTGGAGAATATTGATCTTGTGTTGAGCCCAATAAGCTTTTCATCCAAAAATAGAGCGCGGGTGTTCCTTTAGTGATATCGCTTTGACTCACACGCGGAAAATGGCGGACGTGCTAAAAGAAACTGAGGATATGATCGTGACGCAAGGCTGTCAATCTATATTGGTGGGTGGGGGGACTGCTCTCCTATGTAAAGTTGCGGTCGGTCTGAAAACCGCTCCAACTGGTCCAACGTTTTTTTGTTGTTAAATTGAAAAAAAGTAGTGTGTGTGTTTATATCACCCCAATATGACGGTCTCTACACTATGTATACACACATGTCTGTCCAAACAGCTTGAAAATTAGATTTTTGACCATAGGTGCCCTTTAAGATATTTTAGGTGGAATCAGAGAGCTCTCATCTTCCATAGACTACAATAGTCAGAGGACTCTCAAAGTAAAAGGAACTAATAACATCAAAAATCAGCCCAAGGCAAGAGACATGGAGACATGGGGGAGATTGATTGACAATGGTCTACAGCCAATCAGGACACAGAACACAATATGCTGTAAAAAAAAACATAGCATGTTAAATTGCATTAAAAAAAAATCTGCAAAACTGATGGCCGTGAAAGGTGCACCATGTTATAGCAATGGACCGATGTGCTTCCTTTGCGGTTCTTACTGTATTTTGCCCTTTCCCTCATTCATAATAATGCATATAAACCATCTTTGTTTATCTATAGTCTTTGATTACAGTCAACAGCACAACGTAGGGGCGAGCGAGCTTTCGGATTTCATCTAAAATACTTCATTTGTGTTCTGAAGATAAACGAAAGCCTCTGGGATTTGAGTGACATGAGTAATTAATAACATCAGTTTTATGTTTGGTGTGCACGAAACCGCTAAGTTGAGAGCACCACTCACGCTCCTCTTCGGCCATGCAGAAATCCTGCTTTATTCCAAAGGAATCGACTTCAGTCTTTTTCATCTGTCCACCCCCTGCTCTGCCAGAAGAGCTTCACAAGATCCAGTTCAATCCTGTCATGGCGTCTGACATGCTTAGCACTCCTCTGCTGTCAAAACAGAGCGGGGTAAATAAAGCCAGAGCCTTTTGTCGGAGCTCTAGGTTGTGGTGCAGACCGTCCACCCAAGAGGCCTACAGGACGTTCCCTTCATGCCTGCTGACCGGGGCTCCCTCTCGCCTCCATGTCTCCCTGAGATCACAGGATTAATCGGCCAGCTGTGGATTCTGACCATACTTAATACATAATTTCAGCTCCCATGCTTTTGTTATTTTAGGGCCTCATGTCAATCATGCTGTCATAATCCACGTTTGCCTGGAGTTTTAAAGCCAAGGCTGTTCATGTAAGAAGTTTCTCGTAAACTTTTCTCATTATTTTTTACTGTGCAGCAGTGAGTCCTGAGACCTGTATTGCTCCATGTTTTGTTTGAATGTTGTTGTACATAAAGTTGAGGGCAAAATTATTAACCCTCATGTGAAATTTGTATTCTTTAACAGAGAAAGGACAATTTCCCAGTAATTCCTTTTATATTATTTATTCTGGGAAAATGTTATTTATTTAATGTTGGCTTGAATAAAACCAGTTTTTTTTTTAAAAATTAAAAAATCAATATTATTAGCACCCTTAAGTAAACATTCACCGGCCATTTTATTAGGTACACCTGTCCAACTGATTGTTAACACATCTGCTGCAGTTCAAAGCGAGCATCAGAATGGGCAAGAAAGGGGATTTAAGTGACTTTGAATGTGGAATGGTTGCCAGACGGGCTGCTCTGTGTATTTCAGAAACTGCTGAAATCTACTGGGATTTATCTCTAGGGTTTACAGAGAATGGTCCGACAAAGAGAAAATATCCAGTGAGCGGCAGTTCTGTGCAAATGACTTGTTGGTGCCAGAGGTCAGAGGAGAATGGCCAGACTGGTTCCAGCTGATAGAAAGGCAACAGTAACTCAAATAAGCACGCGTTATAACTGAGGTCTGCAGAAGAGCATCTCTGAACACACAACACATCCAACCTTGAGGGGGATGGGCTACAGCAGCAGAAGACCACACTGGGTGCCACTCCTGTCAGCTAAGAACAGGAAACTGAGCCTACACATCACACAGGCTCACCAAAACTGGACAATAGAAGATTGGAGAAACGTTGCCTGGTCTGATGAGTCTCCATTTCTGCTGCCACATTTGGATGGTCGGGTCAGAATTTGGCATCAACAACATGAAAACATGGATCCATCCTGCCTTTTATCAGCGGTACAGGCTGCTGGTGGTGTAATAGTGTGGGGGAGGCTATTTAAAGGGTTAAGCCAGTTCTGAAGGCAAAAATAGGTCCCCAGTACTAGTAAGGTGTACCTAATAAAGTGGCCAGTGAGTGTATAATAGTCAACATTTGAATGGAATCAAAAAAAGTTTTTTCAAAACAGTCCCAAGACAAGAATGAGCATGATTTAGTAGTTTTAGGGCAACTTTCATGAAAGGTTTTGATCCTGGTCAAATGTTGACTGCTGTAATTTTTTGAACAAGCCATTGTTGTGTTTTGTGTCCAATGACTTCCATAATGACCCTACAGTAACTTGCCTTGTTAACCTAGATACACCTTTAAATTGCCCTTAAACTGCATACTTGTCTCTAGCAAAAAGAATGAAAATGTGACTAGATCTACTCATTTGATATCCAACTGGACGAATTTATAGTGGGGAAAATAAATTTTGAACACATCACCATTTTTCTCAGAAAACATATTTCTGAAGGTGCTGTTGACTTGAAATTTTCACCAGAGGCTGGTGACAACAAAACAAATCCATATATGCAGAAAACAATATTAATTAGTTTACAAATGAAGTTATGTGTACTTAAATGGATTGACGCAGGGGAAAAGTGTTGAACACATGAAGAAAGGGAGGTGTAGTTGTGCAATGAAAGCCCAGGCAGCAGTTGAAATCTCTTAGTAGTTCTTTATCAACCCTCTGCCCTTCCTCAGTGTAAATGAATATCAGCTGCTTCAGTATAACATCAATATTAGCAGGAGGATGAAGATGAAACCAGGGTGGACATTTCAACAAGACTCTAAAGCTTGGTTTATACTCGACGCGTCCACTAGTTCGCTTCAGCGTGTGCTGCAAATTTGACGTCATTTCGGTGTTAGTGGAAGTTTGCTTTGGGTGCGTGCGACATAATTTCGGCTAGCGGTGCACACTGCATTTTTTGAGACTCGAGCGAGCAGTGTGCGTGGCGCCGGGTTTGAGTTGAATGTGAATCACTTTAAAGAGATTTTGTCTGAAACAAGTACGCCTGTACAGACATCTTTATAATCTGTGATCATAGAGATTACCAGATGATCAATAATCCTTGGCTAGAAATTGCAACAGCCGTGGAAAATGATGAAAGTTTTTGTTGAAAAGTTTGGATAAACTTGAGGAATAAGTTTGTTTATGCCAAAAGAGGCCATGGCAAAAGTGGAGACCCGGGCACACAATTACAGAAATCTGTAATTTTTCCACCAGTCAAAGGTTTAACACTGATGTATTTGTTGCAATTTTTAATTTAAAACAATTTAATAGTTACAAAATAGAAAAGAAAGGAATATTTAATATCTGTTTACAATATACCGATGGCCTGTTTTTCTAGGCTTTATTGGTGATTATGGTCAGGATTGTTGGAGAATTATTGCCTTTTTAGCATAAGTATAGGACAGAAACTAGCCAGACAGTAATGTGTGAATTGTGGAGCGGGCTAAATCTAAACAAACATCTGTATTTTTTAGTAAGTTTACCTTTTTTGCTTTTATTTTTTGCTTTATTCTTAATATATATTAGAGCAACTCATGTTCTCGTCATTAATATTTTAATCCACTTTAAAAGTTAAAACTGTCAGAGAAATGAACAAAAACAAGTGATGCATCAAAGTTTGATTTAAAAAAAAATCTTGAATGAT